GGAAATAGAGTTAAATTAAGCCTGGCATTTAAAAAAATAAAAATAGATAAAAACGGGGTGTGGTGCAGTCCCTTATGGGAAGGGAGTTGAACATCTGTGTTCACACATCTGGCTTTCATGGTGCTTTTTAGACAGGCCCTACCACTTCTGGGGAGTTACTGACTTTGACAAGGCACCACCACAGCTCCATCCCAAATCACTGCTCAGGCACTGCCCTGCCAGGAGATCACCACCACGACCAGGGTCCTCCACGCCATGGAGCAGCCCTCTACCTGTGGAAGGGGAATGATGTGGCCCCCATCACCCCACCAGGCCACCAACCACCAGCAGGCAGCACTTGCCAAATTCATGGGCAGACTGAAAAGGCTGAAGGGCATCAAACCCCAATTTCGTGTTGCGCTTGAAGTCGGCAGTCGGAGGAGCGCGTGGGCACAGCATCCCATGCAAGCTCAGCCGACACCACCCTGGGCATCCTAGGGACTCCTCAGGTGCCCACAATGGCACCCCACATCCCCAGGTAGCCCCAGGGACTGGTGGTGCTACTGGGGCTGTTCTGGAGCTGGCGTGGGAGTGGGACATTCAGCATGCAGAGCCTCAGGGAGACGTGTGGGTTACTCTCCTCTTAGCCTCTCCAGAAAGATGCAGTTCCTTCCGTGCAAATAATCCGCTCCCCTAAAGGCAACTGATTATTTCCAGATTACTGTCAGTCCCAGCATGAGTCTCTGACACCAGTTTAAATAGTTAGAAGGGCAAATGCCAGCCCAGGCTAATGTGGCCCCTTGGGTTCCTGTGATTGGCCCTGGTTTCCACGGGCAGTAGAGGTTAGGGACACCTTGGACACCCTAGGCTGGATGAGCAGGGGCCCACTGAGTCAACCAAAGGCATCCTCCAGTGCATACAAAAGCCTTAATCACACCCCTGGACAGAGATATTAATGTGTGTATCTCAGACAGACATAAACATACACTGATAGAGAGATATACACACAGATATACACACACGTTACAAGGTGGCCCAGTCCAGCATCCACTCAATCCATGGCCAAGGTCCTGCTGAGTTCATTGGGGTCAAGGACAAACCACAGCTGAGAACAACCTTCCAAAGAGGTTCTTCTCATTACCTACAGCACTGAACTCATGCTGGACAAAGTAATCTGAGTTTTAGCTTCCCAGTTCCCTGGAATCCTTCTGTTTCTTTTTCTCTGATATTAATGTATTATTACGATCATTTGGCTCATTAATTGTTAGCTTTTCATCTCATTGTATTTTGGAAAATACAAGAGGAATAAATGTGGTCATGGATGCCTTCAGATGTTTATCAAACCATCTGTTAAAGAGCATCTGAAGCCCACATTTTGTACAGGAGCCTCCATAGCCCTGGCTAACCATGTGTCTTTTTGACATTATAATCAAAGCAAAATAAACAGAAATGAGATGCCACAGCTAATTTCACCCCTAATTAACAGAAGAGTAATCACACCCCGTTACCAGTCTGTTCTGCTGCCTTTCTGCAGCAGAAGGGGTGAGGAAAGCACCACCACAGAGCAGCCCCACCTCCCTGGGGATATGAGGCAGAGAGGATTCGATTTGGACCCTGCATGACAGCAGTAGTCTCGGAGGTGTGATGGGTTCTCAGTGCCCTGGCAGCACAGCCAGCCTGGGGAGGGGCAGGGGGGCACTGCTCAGCCAGGGCAGATGGCAGGGTGGACACAGCACCCAAAGCAACAGGTAACAGGAGGCCCTGAAAGCTTTACTTTTTTTAAAAAGGGAGGAAAATAAAAGCAGGGGAAGAGGTATGTAGCATGTAGAAAAAGGCCAGCCTCTTTTCTGCTCCTCACAGCCTGAGTTCCATGCCTGGGGGAGGTGAGCTCCTGGCCCCCGAGCAGGTCAGCAAGGAGCTTTCCCAGCACTCGGTCTCAGATGGATTCAGACAGGCTTGTGGTGGAAAACAAAACAGAAATGACAGAGAAAGGACGTAACCTGTTTCTCAGAGCAGCTGTCCCATTTTATGCCAAGACCAAAGCAAAAGCCACCTGAGATGACCTTGAGCCCCTGCAACACTAACCCCATCACCTCCTCACATCCTCCCACCCTCGGCAGCAGCTCTCTGAGTGCTGCCTGGGCAGAAATCAGCACGGCCACAGCAGCACCGGGGTCAGAGGGCAGCATCGCCACTGTGAACAAGCATGACTCTGACATCCACCCTGTGAGCTGACAGAATGCTTGGGATGCTCCTTGACCTCACAAGGCGATGTTTTTCCTGCACAGCACATTCCCAAAAGCTGTGCCAGCATCCCTTCTCTAAATCTCTAAACTTAAAATACATTAAGATGCAAAATAGTGAGAAAACACTTTCTGTTTCATTTGCTGTAAGGACTTTGTGGTGTATCAATCATGGAAAGAGGGATATAGGAAATCACCCACTTCCTACACATCACTACACCTGCTATCTCCAGGTGTTAGACTGTTTCCTTACAGCAATGGAAATGGAGAGTGGTAAATCCTTTACCAGCTGAAGCAATAAAAGCTTGGAGTTGGGTTCTGCTACGAGAGACAATTCATCCCCAGGAGCTTCCTGAGTGAAGCATCATCAGCAACTGGGTGATTAACTATTGGGTGGGCAGAGAAACAGGATGAGTTCTCTTTTCTAAGGGCAGGATGACACACTGAGAATCACCAGGAGGCTGCTAGAAATTAAAGTGGGTGGAAGATCTGGGATGTGAATGTAAAAGATACAGAAAATTTTTTTGGGGAAAATAGGTAATTTGGTCCTCCCTTAATGCAAAATTCCTTCCTGAGGTCTGAGACATTATCAGGCAGAAAGAGAACAGTGGGAGCAGGTAGAATTGATATTGTCCTAACAAAACAGAAGGAAAGAGCTTTGGTGCTGCCATGGCAGCTGAACTAAACAATATGGAACATACTCTAATGTTATTTACAAAGCAGCTGCAGACCCTCAGCTTAAGCCCTCCTGGGTCTGGGTTTAGCAACAAAAACCATCAGTGTCACAAGAGACAGATGCACCACAGGAGCAGGAAACAGCATTTAGAAATTACTCTGATGAAGGACCTATATATAGGTCCTATATAGTAAAAAATACTCTGGAAAAGGCTAGGGGAGGACTATTTTTACCTCTTTCTGTGACATAAGATTGAGAAGGCAATGTAGAAAATGAACAGGGAGAAACCTGCAACCTCTACGAAGAAATATTGTATACAACCTAATGTTTTAACTGGTGAATATGAACCCTGTAAGACAGGACTGAGATTCAAAAATAAGAAATAAAACTAGTGCCTGAGAAATAAGACTAATACCTATGATTACAGAGCTGCTGGTTGATGTGACCCTGTGAGGGACTGCTGGACCTCAGATCTCCTCTTCTATGGAGCTGATAGAGCTGAACAGAGATTTGTCTCATTGTCACATTGTGAGAAATGTGGATTTACCCTTTAATGCATCCAAAGTATATCACTGGCTGCGACAGAGCAGTGGAGCAGCCAGACCCTGGGATGAAATGCTGACCCTCCTGATGCCACAGGCAGGTAGGCAAGATTTCAGCCTTGGTCTGCTCCCAGAGAGTCCTTCCCATGTAATGTTCCCTGTTTTAATAATGCTGGATGGAGGCTGCCTTTGCTCAAGCTACACTTGAGACCCCAAATAGGAAAAAAAAAAAAATCTGGATAGTTGAAACATGATCTTGGAGATTTGGGTTATTTGGCAGGAAAGTGGATGGAATGCTACAGAGGTTCTGCTTGCAAAGAAAAGCTCAAATGAAAGACAGAAAAAAAAGAGGGAGGGGAGAGGGGGAAGGAAGGAAGGAAGGAGGAAAGATTAAATTTCACTCTTTAGTCAGCACCATATCTACCCAGATATCTTTGGTTGGCTTTTATGCCACAGAAAAAATAGTTTCTGGCCTCTTATAAGCTAAAAGGCATGGCTGAGAGGTACATCTGCAGAATGCCAGGCTCTAGCTGTACTTCTGAAAAACACATTCATTGTTGAGAAAATTTAGGCTGTAAGCTATGTTTTGAGGTATGAGATGGAAGATCTGAAAGCCAAGCAGATGATCTCCACAGATCATCAGTTCTGTGTCTCTTCACCCAAGAAAAAAAAAAGAGATTCAGTCCCAGAATTACTTCTTAAAAGAACTGGGAAAATATAGGACAAAAAAAAAATCCCAGAATCAAACACCTTTAAGAGGATGAAAAGTATCCTAAGAGTATCCCAAACACCAGCCCTGTTGCTTTCCCTGGGACACGTGAGTAGCGAAAAGCTCTCCCGTAGGTGAGATTTACGGCTGCCCTTGGAAAGTGCTCGCTACGTTTCAGACCACGCTCTGCGTCGTGGACTCGAGGCGTGGAGGGAAGATGGAGCAGGGACTGTGCCTCATCCAGAGGGAAGGGGGTAGAGAAGGGGTGCCTCTAACATGCCACGCTGCGCCGTGTCAGAGAGCCCTCCTGTGTCCCACGGAGCAGCAGGTCGGCGCGGCCCCGTGCAGTGCCCTGCAGCGAGAGGAGCTCAGGAGAAGTTGCTGACTTGGTGACACGGTGATGGCTCCGTGTTCCCATGTCACCTCTGCCCAGCACGGCCTTGGGTGACGGAGACACGGGCAAAGCATCACCCACCCATCGGCACACGTTGAGCCCGTGTTAGGCTACTCCAGCTACGACTCCAGCAACGAAATAAAATAAAGAAGCATAAACCAAAGCCCTGCTGTCACCCCGGGTGAGAGTCTGCCAGCTCTGCCCGTGCTGCCACCACTCTCCCTACCTCCCGCAGCCTCGCTACCCTCGCAGCTACAGCCCGAGGCAGACTGGAAGGAGGATATGATTTAAGGTCCAGCATACACGTGGATACATTGGACTGGCACAGCACAGAACAAGCACGTCAATACCTAGAATGCTTCCCTCGATGGCGCCACGACATGGTACACACACGCACACACGTACACAGAAATCTACAGGGAATGCATGGGAATGGCGTGTTGGCAGTGATACAGACCTTGGCGATGGTTCGGGCTGCTGCTCTTTCCTTTAAACAGAAGCAATAGTACATTAGCATGGTGTCAGGTGGCAAAAAGACGTTGCTGCTTCACTGTTAAAACAGAACGAAACGACAATACCAAACAATACAACTAAGTGGAAGTTGTGGACAGAAGAAAGGGAAAGGAGCGCTTAATTCCTGGAGTTTCTGGCCTGGACAGAAGATCACTGGAGACTCACACAACCTCAGAGAAGACACATACAACGCACAGGGTTGAAGAGTTTATCCCAACCCATCCTTGTGCCTACGCAGGACTGAGACACCTGAGGGTCGTGTGATTTGTGTGAGCACAGGAGGACTTCTGTGGGCTCAGAGAGCAGCCCCCTTCCTTTGGAATTGCACTGTCCTGATGTTTCTGAACACGGGGAAGGGTTTGAATGGCTCCCATGGTCCTGCATTCTTTTTCCTCCCTGGTCATTGGGACAGAGCCAATGTCAGATCTCCGGATCATGGATTCACGCCGCAGTGCCAACGCAGGGTGCTGGGAGGGGCACGTGGGTGGGAAGGATCACGGACCCCTGCCCTGACATCCTGACACCCCAGGTGGGGTTTCTGCCTCCAAAGCCTTTGGCAGCTACTTTACCAAAGTAACTGGCAAAGGTCACAATTGTTGTATGTGGTTTCCTACTGAGATCCCAAACTTGATTGCCCTGAAAAATCGCTGAGGACAAAGTGAGCTGAACACCTACAAAAGGGCAGTCACGACACTGCAAGCCACGCTAAGGCCACACTGAAAAAAATATCTCACCTTCACTGACCAGGCATTGTGGTGGCATTTCCCTCCAGCAACGAGGAAAACCTGTTCTGCCTTCAACTACTCCAAATCACAACCTCTACACAATGGGGAATTGCACTTAGTGTGGGACCCCAATCAGCCTTGCCCCTGCAGCCCCCCAAGAGAGGGAACAGACTGTGTTTCTCAGCAGATACAGGTCTGTCTTCCCTAACACAGACGCTCTCCGAGCATGATGCTGTACCAGCCCTGGCCCTGCCACTACTCAGCAGCGACTGCTGAGACCTGCAGAGACCCTGATCTCTCTCCCTTTGGCTAAAGGCAGCAGCTGGAGAGACTAAAAAAATCCCCCTCCACCCTCTGCTCCTTGCTCAGAAAAGCTTGGAAGCCCAGCCTCAGTCACTAGCTCAAACACTCATATTTTAATGCTTTCAGGCTGACCCAGGGGTCTACAGATCTCTGTTCTTGGCTGAGGCCCACAGCCCAGGGCAGGTCCCATCCCGTGCATCCCCAGCGGGCCCCAATGCCCACCACCACAGCCAGCATCTCTCCATCCCTCCCAGGGTCTGCAGGCTCCCCATTCACCAACAGGGCAGCCTTGACTGCTGAAAACCCCAAGAATTACCCCTCCTGAGCAGAGGGTGAAGCTGCAGGACTCCTGGCCTTCTGGGAGAATCTTGTATACCTTACCACAGCAAAATTTAGCAAAAGTCTCTCACTGCTGCAACCTTGTCTGCACTCACTGGAGGGAACAGAGAACGAATGAACACATTGTGGGCCTGAATCTCCTCTGAGGGTGTTGAAGAGCAAAAAGGTCAGAGGAAAGCTGGGAAAACTACCTCAATCACCCTCTTTGAGAATACAACTTTTCCTTGTCAGTCAAGCACTGTGACATTGCTCCAGAGCCAAGTGAGGCTGAAGGAATTCATGTAGAGCATGGGAGAGGGACAGGGAGGAGGTCACTGAAGGACCCATGGGGGACCAGCTGTCAAACCTCTCACATCTTCAAGGCTGTCTGTATGCAAAAGCCAGGAAGGTAAAAAAGAAAGAAAAAAAAAAAAGGTTGCAAAGTGTGTGCTTTCCAAACTCTCTTAACTCTTGCTAACCTGAATGTCAGTCCCGACTTGCTCTTCAGGTTCCTCAGGAGCTCCAGCTGGTTCAGAGGAGGGATTAGTCTAGAGGGAGAAAACAAAAGCCATTAATATACAGACAGAGCTGATTCCAGAGCCTCCTGCCTTGGCAACTTCCCCGGCTGCCCCATCCTTTCAACCAGAACCAGCTTTGTGCCATCAACTGCAACTGGGGAACAGCTCGGGAAGGATGGAGAGGGATTTGGCTGCTGCTTCCAGCAGCGTCCTAAGGCAGAGCAGTGGGGTAAGAGAGAGAAAGAGACAGCAAGAGAGAGAGAGAGAAACTTGTCTGCACCATTGGATTTTGAACCTCCCAAAAACCAAGTGGCTGCCAGGGTTCCTGGGCAGCCCAGTGGTGTTTTGGCAGAGCTGTTTCACCACCTGTAGTCTGGCAGGTTGGCATTGCTGTCGCTGGAGGTCAGCACTTTGGATGTGTGCTAAGTGGAGAGAAACTCCAGTTTTGGGGCAAAACAGGAAAAATCAACCCTGCTGCTCTTGGGAATGTGGGGAGGCAGGGGAAGGAGCAGCTTATGGGGCAGAGAAAACAGGGACCTCAGGTTGTGGCCATCCCAGGAGAAACAGTAGTGTGCTCCAGGGTCAAGTTTAACCAATTCTTTACTGTCCATGTCAGGTTTTGCCTTAGAATTAGGCAAAATCCTGTATTGTTGCCTTCTAGGAACCATGGGCTTCCTTCCTTTCTCAGTTACAAAAAAAGAACCTGATGGTGGGAATCCTGGTTAATAACTGAAAAAAACCACCAAAGAACAAATACCCTGTGGCCTGTCCTGCTTTTGTGCTAAAAGCCATTGAATTAGCTCCTACATCCACTTTTGGTTTCTTCCCTCAGATCCTGAGAGGCTGGGGCTTGCTCCATAAATATTTAATGCTGACATTCACAGCCAGGTTTTCAACCAAGAGAAACATAAACTGGAGGCGTCGGGGGGGAGGACAGAGAATGCTGCACACGGCTGGGAAGAGCAGCATCTGCTTAAGAGCTCACTTGGGGGCTCTGCATTCAGGGTCAAGGCCAATGGGGCTCATCTCATGACTGGCTGCAAAATCGTCCCCGGGCCACCAGCATGCCCTTGTCAAACTGTGGAAGTGCCACATGGCACCGCTGTGCCCAGAGGGTGCAGGGTCAGCACAGCAGCTGCCTCAGGTCACACTGGTGACAAGTGTCTCAGGGATGAAAGGAAGGACCTGGGAACAGGCTGCCTGTGCCTGCCCACATCCACAACAACCCAAAGTGCCACAGCCCAAAGGCAGCCTGTACTTATGGCTTGGCTGGAAAATGAGCCATGTAGGTTTTAATGGAAGCAAGAAGGATCTACTCAAACTGTCCCAAAACTGCAACTCAGGATGGGAAGGAAAGGAGTGCAGGGGCTTGCAGACTAACAGGCTGGTCTCAGCTGAGGTGCTGGAAGAAATGGGGCTCCTGCTTACTGTAAAATAAAGGCAGAGATATTCATGCCCACATTTTTTTCAGCCATTATGAGACCAGTAGTTTTACACTTCAGAAAAAAAAAAAAAAACCACAACCAACTGGAAAAGCCTCTTCTCCTCTGCATGCATGAAACTTATCCTCAAAACCACAGTTGCTCAGCAGAGATTTGGTGTTCACAAGATTCAGGCAATCAGAAAATTTTCCAATTCTAAGTATGGAGAAAAGAATAAAAATAGGCCTGAACATTTTGGCTCAGCTCCCCAGTCCAGCTCTGTTCGCTTCCATCCAGAGAAAAGCACATCCTGATCTGCTGAATTAATGATCCTCTTCACTCCAGTCATCAGGATGAAGCCGACCTTGGTTCAGTGGAGCAGTGCATGAGTGCTGGGCTGTTACCTCCCTTCAAAACCACCGTAGGGGTTGGAGATTCATTCCAAGATGGGAGCGGTGGTGCATAAAATCAAGCACAAAGTGTACTCAGCAGCTAATGAAGGGTGCACAACTGTTCTTTGGTGAGTTAGCTTCTCAGGGAGGTCCATACCCAGCAGAACACAGCCCTACTTTCTCCAGCTGGGATCACAAATCCAGGGCTCTCACTCATGCAAGTCTCAGCTGAAGAGCTCATCAGCTCACTAAACTGAAGGATTCAGGATTCCAAAAGGAGCTACTTCTTTTGCATTAGCCCATGGTCTGCACTGTGCTGAAAGTGGCCACCTCTTGGTGGCCATGTTTCCATGCAAAGGTACAGAGACACAGCAAACACAGAAATCCACCATTTCTGTGGTTGGTTGATGGGCCTGGTAAACATGAGATGGAAATAAGCAACATTTTACTGAAATAATAATAATAATAATAATAATTATTAAAAATGGGTGTAAACTCATCCATGTACTCAATTTAATCTCAATTTAATCTCAATTAAATGCTCAGCCTAACCTGTCACTGCAAGAGCAGCCTGGGGAACAGCTGCTGCATCGCACCATTTCTCCAGATCCTCAAAAACAAACAAACAAACAAAAGGCAGAACTCTGCACAGCTCTTTAACTGAGCTTTGCTATGAAATGCTGGATGCCTGGCCCCCTGCCCTGGTGTGTGTGCCCAGGGGGCAGGTGATGCAGGTGCCACCGTGTCCTCCAGAGACGTGCAGAAAGCACCCCTGGCTGGGGCGCCTCTTGTTTTCTCTCTCTCCTCCTGGTCCGTGTGTCACTTGTTAGCAAGGGAAGCACGTTTTGGTTAAGGGGGAGCTGGGTGAGGAGCTCTGCACACCAGGGAACACACACAGCTCATGCCACCCACCACAAAAACACTGCTGCAGGGGGACCCAGGGGAACCCACAGCTGCTCCCATCACCCCGCCCAGAGGAGCACAGAGAAACGCCACAGTAACTCCAGGTGCCGGCTACCACATCCAGAGGGAAGGCAGACCCGCTATTCCTGGCAGCACAGATAACTGTCAAGCATTAGGGGACAGTGGGGATATCATGCCTCGGGCCAGGACACCACCAGAACCCCACAACACCAGGGGAAGGCAGCAGGACACAACACAGGGGGGAGCGTACACAGACACACACACACACCACGACACGCACACAGAGACAACGATGATTTTTTTGAACAGTCCCAGTAGGAACAGTTAGGGAGAGGGTGGCAAGGAGATGGATGCTGGAATGGGATGGGGGCCTAAATGAGTCTCCATGCTATGCTAGAGTTCCTATGAGCAGCCAATTTTTACCCTAACCATGACTTTATGTCTCCGGCTAAAGCTATTTTTCACAACTGAGAACATTTATGAAACTCATAAAATACTTTATTACAACAAATGGGATGGAAGTGGCACATTCTTATTTCACTCCCAGCAGTAGAAAAATGTCTGATTCTCAAAACAGACTGTTGTTCAGCAGAACAGGAAAATATATTTTTAACATTATACTTGCAGTTCATTGATGCAATTTGGTGTAAATTAAGCACACAAAGCTGTAAGTGTGATTTACTAAGGCTATAAAACTTACATCTGTGAAAACTGGAGCTGGGTTTGGAAATCAGACACTAAATCACATCAGCTCTAATGGCATTACTGCCTCTAGTGAGGATTTAAACTGCTCTAAAAAGAGAGCTTGGCCTGCAGTCTTGAAATGCAAGTCATTTATTCCCCATCTTAAAATATTAACTTGACTACACCTTCAGATACCCATCTCATTTAAAATATGCCTGTGATTTGCAAATCTACTCCTTTCTGCAGAACCTGAGATAACATTATTTATCATAAATCTTACACAGTCACATCCAGGTCTTTGCATTTGGATTGGTCCCAAAAGGTTAAGTCCCAGATTGAATAACTGTGGCTAATAACTGCTTGGCTCTAGGTTGGTCTTGGAAGGAAAAACTGAAATGGAAAAGTCCTGCTGAGATGAAACATCTTTTTCCCAAAAATCAGACTGGATTACTCAAAGAAATGAATGACTATTTCAGTTTAGCATCCCAGATCTTTCTCTCCTCCACATGCTGTCCTCAAAAGCAGGCACAGCTGCTGTGGAGATTTTATTCTGTGCTCCCACTGATGGGTCCCATGGTGCCACCACACCAGCAAACTCAGCAAAGCCAGCATTACTGGGTGGGCACAGCTCCTGCAGCATAGAGCCAGATAAATGACACAATGAAGGGTGGGAAAAGAGGGCTGGAGAAAGGGAACACGCAGGAGTGATGGCAGAGGGAAATGGAAGTATGAACGGGGACGTCTCCCTTTTAAGCGTTGCATGGATTGGAGGAGGGGGGTAAGACCATCAAGAAATCATCCTTAAAAAAGCAAGCTTATCAAGCACTCTACCATTCTCCTTCCTTACATCATCATTTTGGCAGAGTTTCCCAACACTTGAGTGTACCAATAGCTAAAATGGCCATGGAGGTGCATGGGGTTAGTCTGTCAGCAGCAGGAGGGGGCGTCTGCTTTGAGCTTTCACTCATTCCTTTGAAAAAACTCATCTTCAGAGGTTTCTTTTTCTTTCTTTCTTTTTTTTTTTAATTCAAGGCTTTGCATATTACAGTCCCAAATGAAGAACAAGGAGTGACATGACACACACTTTCAGAGTCACATGCACTTCATACCTGGAGGCACCATACGTTTGCGTTTGCGTGCTTTTCAAGAGTTTTCACCAAAGAAAACCAAAGGGATAAGAGAAAGAAAAACAGGGGGGGAAGAGGTGGGGTGGAGGAAAGGGGAAAAAGAAACAGAATAAAGAAAATTAGCATATGAACGAAGTGTCTCCCCGGGAGCAGATGCTGTGGCCAGGCTCACAGGTGAGCACGGGAGGGTGGGCTGAGCTCGCTCCCCGCTGTGGCTGGCTCAGAAACCACCACACACCCGTGTCACCCTCGGGGACAGGCAGCTGGCACCTTGCTCCAAGAGCAAATTGGCACCACAGAGCAGGGAAAGTGTGGGGGCCTCCCAGAGACCTTCCATGGGACATCCACAGCCCTCGGTCCCGCCAGCCAGGAGCTCCTCGGGCTGGGCTGCTGACTTGGGCAGGATGTGCCCCATGGGTTTGTGGTTTTTTTTAGTGAAGACCAATATATGAATGTAGTTGAGATCAAGGCTCTGCTCTCATGAACGACAACGAGAGCAAACTTTTTTTCCCAGTAAATTCAGTGGCTGATGCAGAACAGGTTAGGATGTCTGAGTGCACCAAGTTACCCACGCATCACAACCCAAGCCACACCTGCTCACAATGAAGCCTTGTGCATATTTCAGATTTGGTTCTACGACATTTTGGATTTAAAGGTTAAATTTGAGATTCTCTAAGAAGCCACCATATTTTCCCCAAACAAGATAGAGCAGCTCTACTGCAGTGATTCAAGTGATGTTCTGGAGCCACGTGAGCTCCTCCAAGGCATGTGTAACAATTTGCTCATATCAAGCAGCCACGCCTTTTCAGAGATGCCTTGGGAAGACGGATGAGCTCAAGGCACAGGGCTCCTGCTATGAGGAATAAGCAGCCTGATGTTGAGCAGAAAGGGTGCCAAGGTACTGGTGACTGCAGATCACCCCCGGGGCACCAGGGAGGGGGATGTTGTGTTCCTCCAACCCACTTCCAAACCACACCGTGGGTTGCAGACACGTGTCAGCAGCCATCACTTTAATGTGGTGCTGGGCTTGACGTGCTGCCACGGCTGCACCAGCACCAGCACAGGGCTGCCAGCGCCTGCCAGCCAGCTCAGGGAAGTGGGTGGGCAAGGAGAGATGGTCAGTGTGAGTGACAGAAGCTGCAGCCAGAACATACAGTTACTCCCTTTTCAAAAAAAAAAAAAAATCCAATTAATTTATCTGAGTGCACCCAAAATATACTCAGAAGGTGTTCACTCCTTTCCTGGTAAAAAATGCCGTTTGACTAATGCCTGAATCCATCAGTGCACCCACAGTTCACTTGCTCAGGAGCTGGGATTTAAGGGAGAAGCTGGGACTGCAGTGAAACCCATGCCTAGGGAAGCCCAGGGTGACACTGCAGAGTGGGGCTGAGCAGCACCCACAGCATCAGCCAGCAAAACTGCTACAACCCTGCTACTCATCTGTCCTGGCTTCTTACTCAAGATAAGTGGGCTCTTTTAACTACATTTTTTTTTTCTTTCTCCTCCCTAAAGTTTTTATTTAGTCCCTCCTGGAGCTCTTTAGCTTAGTTCTCCTCCTGTGGACCAGCTCCATTGGAAATACAGGTTTTAAGGAGCGGATTAAGTAACAGGTAATTAAGTAACCCCAGTACTCTGCAATCAAAAGGGTGTCACTGCATGTCTGGCTGCGTGGTAAGTTCAGTAGTTCAAAGAGAACTAAAACCTGGCAAAATCCACTGAAAAAAAGCCCTGGGTGTCTGCAGTTTGCAGTGGACTTTGGGCCAGGCTCCATCCTCACCCTATCCAGTAGCTGATCCCAGCCAGAAGATCAGATACTGGGAGGGAGAGCTTCAATGGGTGGGTTTAATGCTACTGGAAAACAGCTTTGTTCTGGTTTGTTGGGTTGTTGTTGTTTTGGGTTTTTTAGAGAAAATCTTGAAGTTGGCTCATCAATTTCCAGGGAAAAAGCAACCAATCGGACACACACTGGGAATGAATCCAATAAAAACTAACTGACCACAACAATGTGACTTCCAACAGGTTTTTATGCTGGATTAAGAGGCTGGCTGCTGTGTTTTAAATATATACTAATGCTTACCCCAGGAAATACATCCAGACTGTCTGCCCAAGGGCTAAAAGACACCAGTAACACGGGAAAAATCAGGAAGGGATGATACCTGCACTGGCACAACCCAGTGCTGGACCACAGCCCTGTGTGGGAGCAGGGAGATGGGGCACAGGGAGCCCCACCATGCCCAACAAAACCCCACAGGAACATCTAACCAACATGTTCAACCCCACTACAAACCCAGAGGGACCTGGGTAGCCCCAAAAAACACACCAGAAAGGGATGCAGGACGCAGGGCAGTGTGGGGTGAAAATGAATAGCAACACTGTGCATTTTAGCTTCTGAGGAAGCCTCCTCCTTAGATACCAGCAAGCCCAAGAGGGACATAAAGGATGCAGTACTTCCCCATGTCCCAGAGGGCACTGAGGTATGACAGGGAACTCTGTCCCCACTTCCATGAAACTCCAAATCCCAAGAGGCTGTGAATTCCCACAGCACTGCTCTAACCTTAACAAAATGCCTGGGTACAATAAGTAGAGCAGGTAAAGCAAGGCAGATGGATGCTGCCAAAACTCAGTGGTGTTTATCTGCCTCATCCATCAAGGCTCCACCATCCTTCCCTACTCCTGTCAACAGACTGGGATGGATAAATGAAATATAAGAAATGGGAAAACGCTCACTGAATCCTGAGTTGGTTTTCCTCATCTCAGAGAAATAAAAGGAAAGGAAAGGAGGACACAGGGCAAATGCACCCAGGAGAGTACCAGGCTGGTCAAAGGAGGGAGAAAAGTTTGCTGAAAGGCAGAAGGACCATTAGAGACCAGTTGGATCAGCAAGGAGAGCCTGGAAGGGCACGAGGAGCTGCAAGTAGGGTGAGGGCAGCTTTTACCTACGATCCAGAGCAGCTTGGAGGGAGGTCTTCACACCTGGGCACGGCAACTGTCACAACACAATGCAACTACCAGCAGACATGGAGAAATAAAGGGGAAAAGAAGAGCATGTACAACACACAGAGACATGGAAAGAAAAAAAAAAAAAAAGCAACATGAAAATTAAAATCAAGTCAAAAAGAAATACAACAAAAAATACAAAGCAAAAAAACTCTGAAAGACAAAGCATACACCAGCCCTTAAGAGCCTCTTGAAATCAACTTTTTCAATGAAAAAAACTCAGAAACAAATAAATGAAACTATATATCCAGATAACGGAAATAACTGTGGAGGCAGTGGCATCACGAGGAAGGCAGTGGAAGAGGAAGCTGGAGGAGGAGGTACCTGTACATGGGGACGGTGACGGTGCGCTCGTAGTACTGCCAGGTGGAGTGCAGGTCCGTCCGGGACAGGTTGGTGGCATAAAATCTCCAAGCCGCCTGTGGGGGACAAGACACAGTGGGGTTGTGGACCCAGGCATGGCCAGCACCACCCTCAGGTTTATAAACCTCGGCCAACTCTGACTCCTCCCTCTGTTTTCTATGGGATGGATCCAGCATTTTGCCTCTTCTTTGATTTGATACATGACAAATTTGGGGTGGCACCATGATACTCCTCACCATGTGAGCCTGGTTAAAAATTTCGTGGGTCTCAGGCATACACTGGCAGGATGAAGTGGGTGTTGTTGCCTATTAAGGAGTTAAAAATTTGGAAAGAGAGGAGCAGGGGAATGTAAAATGACTACTTTCAAATCTCCAAGATGTACACCAAGGCCAACCTTCTGCACGGACATCTGTTATCATGAAGAAAATGCTCCCAATTGTAATTTTATATCAGTATAAATATTCTCTTTGGGGAAAAAGAATGAGTGAAAACAGACTGTCCTAATGCATTTGTCTTGCTGTGCTGGGCTGAATTTCATTCCTTTTCTCCCCTAGATTCCCTGCCACATATGCTATTTTCCCATGGTTGATTTCCTGGCATTTATTCCCAGACAAAACCAGTCACCAGCTGCTGTCTCACACCTTAAACACATGGCCCCACTTTTCACCAGCCCATTTCTTCCCCAACTTCTAAAAGTCTGTCAAGCCCCCCAAAACCAGGACAATGTAACCCCAAGGCTCCTTGGATGTGATCCTCACCTGGATCAGGCCCGCTGCTGGGTTTCGCCTCTTCTCAAAGTGTTTTTGTCGATGCTGCTCTTGAACCTTCAGAGCAAACCCCGAACCCAAGATGCCCTGGAAGAGAACAACAATTTGCAGTTAGCAGGGGTTTAGCTCAGCTTTCACTTGAAAGTTGTGGCCAGCTTTCCCTCCAAAGTTTTTTTTCTGGCTCAGTTTTTGTTTCAAACATAGAGGAAGGAAGGAGCCTCCAACCCAGCAGCCTTGGCAGACATTCTCCAAGGGGCAGCAGACTTTGCTGGTACCCACTGGAATTGCAGCTTTTCCCAAACCACCTCCAGCCAGCTGATAAAACACAAAATAACCCCAGAGTGTTGGCATTCATCAAATTATCCCCACAGGGATCCAGATCAGTGCAACACTCTGAAATGCATCTGTGAGTGATTTGCTGAAACGGTGTAATCATAGAATCACAGACTGGTTTGGGTTGGAAGGAACCTTAAAGCTCATCTCATTCACCCCCCTGCCATGGAAAGGGGCACCTTCCACTAGACCAGGTTTCTCAGAGCCCTGTCCAGCCTGGCCTTGACGGGGCAGCCACAGCTTCTCTGGGCAACCTGTGCCAGTGCCTCGCCACCCTCACAGGGAAGAATTGCTGCCTAATAGCCAATCTAAATTTACCTTCTTTCAGTTTAAAGCTATTAATTACCCCCAAGAACAGCCCTCTGAGGGAAAAAATCCTTTATATTGCCCCAATAAATATTTGTGCAGAGCCAAATCTAGAATTTCCACCCCGTTTGCTCAAAGCACCCCAGCTGTGGATATTCAGACAGGGTTTGCCCTTTTCTCCCTAATTTTTTGATTCAAAAGCCACAGACCATTGCAGCCAGGAGGGTGCATCACGTTGCTGGATGCAGCTGTTGCAGCGGCACCAGCTCCAGGGGCTGGGGATAAGGGAGGTCAGACCCCCTCCCAGTGAGACCTCACTCCCAGCACCGTCCCACTTACGGCAGGAAGGGCGAAGAAGGAGACGCCGATGAGTGTGAAGGTCGCCGCCAGCAGCCGCCCGTTCCAGGTCTGCGGGTACTTGTCCCCGTAGCCGATGGTGGTGAGAGTGATCTGCAGGGAGGAGATCAGTGCCCAGCCCTTGGTCAGACAGCCTTAAAACTGAAACGACACGGCCAAAACTCCCGCAACACCCGAGCGGGAGGGACATGGAGGAGCCGGGATCGCTGCGTGCCCTGAGCTGACCAAGGGAAGGCGCAGCTCGGGGACCCGGAGGACCCAGCAGGGATGGGCAACCCTGCAGGATGCAGATGCCCCGACACCCGCCCTGCTCACGTGCTGGGTTTTCGCACCAGTTGGGAGCATTTTCTGTGCCTTTTGCTGTCACGGAGAGAGCTGCCATCTGGTGCAGAGGCTGGCGGCAGCTCGGAACCTCCCCCGGGAGACGGGGTTGTGCCTTCGGCAGGGGAAGCGAACCCGCACCGTTCCCCCAAACTCCCTTTCGGCATCTCAGGAAAACAGGCAGGGCTATTTGCATGCATAAAGACCTGATTCTGCCTGTTCCCAATCCTCCCAGCAGTACCTATTAGCTGGTCTCCCTTCCTATTTAAAAACAGCCTATTAGACCAAGAGGATGAATTATAGCTCCTTCATACCACCTCATTTAGGAATGTTTTTTCCCCTCCTCAGCATTTTTGCAATGCGGCAAGAGAGAGCTGGCAAGTTGCTGTCTGTATTTTGGGGAAAGATCTGAGGGATTTGTTGGAGACAGAATCCCCTGAATGTCAAACTGCAGGAGAAGACACCTTTACCCACTTCAGTCCACAGACATCAGCAGTGGGAAATGCTGGGTATTCCCCCAGGGCTTCCAAGAGGATTTGGAGAGCCTGGGTCTGGCAGGGCAAGGCAGCGAGGAGTGGTCTGATTAGAAACATCTTTGAGACTTCTGATCCCAAAGGTCCCTGTGACACATGGAAGTGTCCCTGTCCCACAGCCTCCATGGACAGAGCTGGCCCCAGGGATGGCAGCTGACACCACACTGATGTGGCATTGGAAATATGCATTTCATTCAGAATAAAATCACTTTTACACAAATGGAAGTATGATCCCAAAGCGCCCTTTAATTAGGCCCACTAAAAGCCTTATCAATTAGATGCTATTTTGACAAAGTGGTTAAAAAATGCATCTACATGCCTCATTCTTACTGAAACAAAGTCGGAGCAATGCTCTCTCCATAAACACTGCAAAATTGGTTTACAATTTTTTTATAATTTCTATAGACAACTACAAGGATTGGATGCAGCAAGATCAACAAAAGGATGAGTTTATGAACCTGAAATTTGATTTATCCCATCTCTTAACATCTGCCTGTACTGGAACCATGAGCTGGACAATGACAGAAACTACTTATTTTAATGAGGCTCAATTTTTTTTCTGTGTTTCTCAGTGGCAAAACAGTCTGGTGCATCTCTGCATCCCAAAAGGCAGAGCAATGATCCTCTGTTGAAGGCCTGCAGAGCCTGGGAAGCAGGAGGGATAAATCTGCCGATGGTTCTCCCCAGACTAAGCTCTAATCTGGGCTGTCACTTTTCCCCCATTGTTTAATTTCTGGTTATGTCAAATTGGGCTTTGTTTTTATTTTTTTGTCATAACTAAGGGACTTTAAAAGCAATTTACTGCTTTTTTCCCCTTTGTTGGAACAGAGGAGCTGCTTGATCAGCCGATTCCTCCCCAAGCCTGTTATTGGGATTTGATCAGATCGGGGATTTTCATTACATGCTTTGTAATCAAGGCCAAACTAGTGATGGAGCAGAAGAACAATAACGCAAGAAGATTAGAACGTCATTAATTCTCTCTTTGTTAATTGAGTAATCCAATAATTCACATGCACACGCACACACAGAGCAAACCAAAAGTATTGCCCTTTCCTCCTCTGTCAGCAGAGATGTGAAGGGGAGCGCTCGCCCCGCTGGAGTCTTTCTGGTACTTAGACCCTATTAATTTTATAAACTTTATTCCTGCGTGTTTAACAGCGCCTTGCCCAAGTGCAATTTAAATAATTAAAGGGCAGCAATACTTGTCAAAACAATGATCAAAGCAGTGTGGGGTCTCTGTCTGACCTGCCTCTGCTGTCACGACAGAGCTAAATCCCACAGCTGGGAGCACGTGAGTGCCCCGTTCCCCTGCAGCTCCAGCTAATGCAGAAATGTGATCCTTTAACGTTTTCTATGAGGTTTGTATAAGAAAAAGAGCTAAATGGAGCAGCCCAAAGCCATTTAATAAAAATGTTAACTAAGCACTCTATAAGTCGATGCCTCACGTAAGTGATAGAAGATGGAGGGTTAATGGACGTTTTATTTTAATAACCAGCAGCTGTTCTATGAAAATGACTTACCAGACCCCACCAAAGTGCATCTGCGTATGTATCAAAGTGCTCATTTTCTCCTTTCTCGGCCAAGTATACCAGGAAAGAGGCCAGAATGAGGCACAGGAAGCCAATATACCACGCAGTAATCAGCTCCTGCGAGATCATTAAAGGAAAGAAGAGAATAATTGCAACCCTGGTGCGCATCTCTGAACGTTGAGTTACTTGATTGCGGCTGGATCTGAACTTTCCCTGCATTTGTTTAGGTTTGAGGGCTTTGGTTAGAGGCCAGTAATGACACTTTTTTGAGATAGGACCATGAGGTGGTGGCTCTGCCAAGCACATGGGGCAATCCCTGTCCTGAAGACCCCAACATCTAAACACATACAGCAAATGGAGAAGGGCATTTAATAGCTCCATTATTGCAAGATATGGACCTGAGACTTAAAAAACTCTAGCATTTCCCCAATTCACATAGTTAGAACTGAAATAGGAATCCTCAAATCCTTGGGGCTTCTACTTACAGAGGAGGAGCTGCAAAGTTGGGGTCTGGATGCAATATACCCCAATTGCAGAGAATTTTTAATTCAGAATTCACAGAAGTGATTATTTGTGGATTAGGTTAATGCAAGGGTGGACAAAAGGGACCCACAAATTCCCTGTGATAGTTCTGGCTAAGGTGACTAAGCTTTTCAGGGGAGAAAAAGTGCAGGAAACAGGAGAAACGTTAAATTCATAAATTCAGAAGCAGTAAACAAAAAATTATCAACAAACTCTTCCCAAACCGATCACCTTATACCAGGGATCAGTTCTGTGACTGAACCTCTCTCTCCCTTCTCTCCTTGACTGGTCAAAGCACTCCATCAGACCTTGTCCCTGACTCTGCATCCCTTCCCGAGTTACCTACGGTGTCTTTCCGATCTCCTCAGGCCTGGGAGAGCTTTGGGAAGGAGAACTGAACCAAAGCAGTGCCTCTGTGGGGGAGGGAACACCAAGAGCAACTCGATATCCCTGCTTGGGACCTGCTCACCTTGCTGTGTGCGTAGACCACAGAGCCCAGGAGCTTCCAGGTGCCGCCCCGCCGGTCCATGCGGATCATGCGCAGGATCTGCAGGAACCTCAAACTCCTGAGTGCTGAGGTGGCAAAGACATTCCCTTGGGACCCCGCTGCCAGCACGGCGATGGATGCGATCAGCACCATGATGTCTGCAGGAACAGAGGGCAGGGAAAGCTGAAGGAGTGCTGCTGGACCACTACCAAAGGGGATGGAATTCCCACTGCCTCGGGCAGCAGAAGGCTGTGCATGAGAATGATCTCCTGGTCACTTGTATTCTGTGCTGGAAGGACATGGCATTAATCTTAAATTGGATGAAAGGAGCTACTACACACCTTGTGGAATATCCTGGTTTCCTTCTCCACGCTCGTCATCCATAAAAAATGTGTCAAATACTGCGAAGTCTGAATTTTTATATGATTCAGTGTTAACACTGCTAAACTGGGTTAAATCCTTGCAAAATGCTTGGCCTTTTTTTTTTATCAGCCATAGCTGCCTGTTACACAAAGCTGGGAATTACACCATCTAAATTGGGAATGAAAATCTCCAGGTCCTGCATAGCAGTCCTAAGGTGCTCACAGACAAAGACCAAGAAATAGGCCAAAAAAAAAGCCTTTCTCTCTATATACACGAAGATTCGGTAAACCTCCCTCTTCCCTAATTTTCTGTGCAAATTTTATAGCAGTCTTTTTCTGTGGAATAAGCTCAAATCCTGCATATGACCATTGCCAGCTCCTGGACAGTTGAAGGCAGCTTCCATAGCGAAGGGCATGGCCTCTCTGCCCATTTCTTATCCCAGAAAAAAATCACTGCTGTGCCCAGATGGCCCCTCTCATAGGAGGCTCACTGAGTACTTTACAAACAAGAATTAATTAAGTCTCATAACTCCCTTGTGAGGCAGCTCATCAGCACCAGGGAAGGCAAAGTGACACACCGAGCTTCAGTGACTCGTGAACGATTCAGTGTGGAGGTTGGACACAGGATTGCAGGATCCCAGTTCCTATGCTCAGCTTCTCCTGGCTAACCCCCCTTTCTGCGCAGCTGTCAGCGATGCCTGAGGTACACAGGGCACTGGGATGGCTCCCAGGTTGGCAGAAAACAGGGAACACGCCGTGATGAATAACAAAAAAACACGTCCGTGGATTAGGACTTCTGCCTTTGTGCTTTTTCCTGATCACGAAGCAGCTGAAGATCAACCCCCAAAATGCATGCGAGACACCAGAGCCCTGTGCAAGCAACTGCTTGCAGTGGCCATCGTGGTTTGGGGAATCTCATGCAGGGAAGGAGGTCTTACCGATGACGCAGAAAGGCTTGCGGGCAAATTTTAACCTTCCCCTCCAGCCCCGGTATCGGCAGCAGCAGCCGGCCGCCCAGATCCTCACAAAGTATTCCACCCCAAACACCACGATGGTGACGATTTCCTGTGAGGGAGACAACGCTGTTAGTCGGGAAAGAAGGATGGTGGAGAGCCTGCTCCAGAATCAGGGACAAACACGTGACCTCAGGAAAATACACCTCGGACAACAAGTCACCAAGCTGTCTGCACCGTTCAGAGAGCCCAGGCTTGAAGGATCATCAGATCTCTGCTTTTGTGTCTTCCCTCACCCCACCCAGGGTGGGGAGAGGTACTGCATGTTGTAGCCATGAACTAGAGTTTTACACTGTCCCTATTGTCTTTGTGTCCCCCATCAGAGGACTGGCAAGCACCTCCCTGTCTCCCTGCCATTAGTCTCCAGGACTCGACTGGGTTAGTGCTGAGCAGCTCAGGGAAGAGCAGAAATGGGAATCACTGGTCGGGAATCATCCTAGGACTCTTCAAAGGGGATTTCAGCTTTTTCCCTAGAAAAGTGGCCTGGTTGCCTGAGTGTGCTGGGCTATCTGGTGCAGGGGGGTGTAGATTTTCCATCCTTTAATGCCACGCGAGCTCTTTCCATCACCATCTGAACATCCCATGCACGCTCCCTTCCCTCTGAGTTCTTTACTAGCAGCACTTTTCTCAGCTTTCTCATGTGTCAAACCTGATGAACCCATAATTAGTCTGCAGCACCTTTTGATGTCGATGTAGGGCAGGGACTGGGGAAGAGGAAGACAGACAAAAGTAAAGATGTGTGAATCTGGCAGCCCTGCACCACTGCCGTGGTGGCAGGATCTCTGCTGGCTCTTGGTGGCAGAAGCCACACTGTCAGTGTGAGGGATGCCGGGCTATTTCAGGAACAAAACTCTGCAGCTTCATGGTGGATCAAATAGTTGCAGGGATGTGATAGTGTGGGAGAGGAGGCAGCTCCGCCGGCTGCTCCCAACGCAGAGCGTCTGCAGCTTTAAATACTGGGAGCTTTCAGCTGGGATCAGTCTTGCTACTGCGTTTTGAAATTGAAGATAAATTCAGGAAAGAAAAAGAAAAGAAAGAGAAAAAGTCTAGGAAGAAAGGTTTTAAAAGACCCTTCAAAATATTTTTAGTTTATTCCTGATACAGATTTCTCCTTTTCACATTTCTTACCCATAGGTTGTACTGGTCCCCCTCTCACAAGTGACAGTTTAAATCCTTGCCTCTAACACCCCCAATCTCAGGTTTTTGTGTGGTTTTGCCTTTATGTTAATACCTTACTGTTGGCCCCCACTTACCAGGATATAAAGGGCCCCTTCTGAGCTGTTCTGGTACTCATCAATGGTCGAAAAGACAGACAGCACCAGGCAGGAGAAAACTAGTAGAAAACTACATAACACAAATATTAAAACAAAAAATAAAATAAAAAGGGGAGAGAGAGAGAAGGTCAGTCTTCAGGGCAGGATTTTTTCATACTCATCAAAGTAGTCCAGAGAGCAATTTTGGACTTATTTCTCTATGAGTATTTACTGCACTGCTGCTATCACACCATGTAAAAAGGGTGAGTAAAGTGGCCAGTTTTGAAAGGGTTATGCGTGGATAGACCCATTGGACTGCTCCCAGTTTGGTCAGTGCCAGTCCGATTCCCCTCCCAGCTGGCAGCTCTGATCACCTCTGACATTATTTCCCTAAGGAACTGTCAGGTCTTTCTGCAACACGCTTTCAATAAGCATCCAAATGAACAGGAACATTTCTAACTGGGATAAGAGGGAGCAGACTGGCTGAGAGGCAGGAGCACAGGCTGAGCACGAACCCATAAAGAATTCCACTGATGCTCTACATCTACTAAAGCTCACACAGGAGTGGGACTACATTTCTTGTCGGGGTAGGACATTTTTGGGTGGATTTAATGTTCCTTCCTTAGGCAGGTACTCCACATTAACTCCTCACTGCCTGGAAAAGCTGGTGACTTTTGGGGTTTGTTGTAGCATCAGTGAGAGGTTGGTAGTTGTTACTCTGCTTTTCTGTGGCCAGTCACGTGACACAGTAAGGGCTTGATCCAGTCCTAGGGAATGTGATCTTGGAGTTGTTGGTACCACGAAGCCAGAGACACCCTTGCCACTGGGGAGGGACCTGAGCTGGCCTCCGTCCCAGCCCTGCAGGGACAAAAGGAGCCTCATCCTGCCATGAGCTGGGGAAGACCCAACTTTGATATCAGCGCTCTCAGTCTCTTATTTGCCATGAAATAGGGGAAATTCTCAAAACCCAGCGTGCATCCAGGTCTCATTGACATCTACATCCACGGGCAGCCTCCCAAAAGCCTCAGCAGCGCCACACCAGCCTGTCACTCACAGCCTGTCCCCATCAATGCTCTGTGCTTCTCCTGAGTGCTGGGTGTTCTAATGCACATCAAAGAGCACAAAATGAATGACAGGAGCTCAACTCTCCTCCAACACTCATTGCCTCAGTCCACAGCTACAGAGGTGTCCTGGCATCTGCTCAAGGATGGAGGTTTCCACCCATGCCCACTGCTTGCTGCAAGAAAGGGAGGGAAATTAATTTACTGGAGATTGATTTACTAATAGAATAAAGTAGGCCAGCGCAAGGAGAAACTAAAAGCTGCATTCTTTAAGAGCATTAAATAATTCATCTGTCTGACTTTGTCTCACATTCCTACAAACTGAATTTTGAATATTTATAAGGTTTGGTTCTGCTGGTGGGGGCTGCTCCTCTTCGGTGAATAAAGAAAAGGAGTTTCACACCGACAGGTCGTGCTTGTGGCTTTGCAGTGACCATTAATGTCACACCAAAAAGTAAAAATAGGGAGATTTGCAGTACTTATTCGAACCACAGGCTGAAATGTGGTGGTGAGGTAAGGGACTGCTGGAGGTAAGGGACCTTCAGAGCCATCTCAGCCAAGGCTGAGCTTTGTCAGCCACAAGATGAATTCAGCACAGAGCAGATAAGGATAATTACTTGATTCCTCACTACAAATTTTCTCTTCTAACACCAGGTTTGGTACCCAGACACTCGGAAAAAACCTCAAGAGAGTAAGAAAACTTTCCTTTCAAACTCACTCATGATGTCCCTTAATGTCTTCTCTAGGTCTCACTTAAACATCTTTTCTCCCCAGGCTGTTTATTTAAAACCTTTGCCATAAACAATCCTACCACAACCTGCCCTGCAGTCAAATGGACTCCATCCATCCCAACATCCTCTGAGTTGCCTGGGCCAGGCCCTGGGAGTGGAGACAGACCCCTGCTGCTGCCTGTACTGTTGCAGGGGGAGCAGAGCCCTGCACCCCAGTGGAGAAGGAGCTGAAACTGGGTCAGGCAGCCCCGCTCCTGGGGTGGCCCAGATTTTGCTGCAAACTTCTGTGTTGAAGTGAGAAACAAATGAATAATCAATGAGAGAAGAAAGAGAAGAGAAAAAAAGCAAACAAAAAAAAAAAGATAATAGAAAGGGATCAAGGGAAAAGAAATCCTAGGTTTTCTGATTAAATAAGCAGAATGTGAGTTGCATTTCTTTCTGTGACCAAACATCACTGTAAAATGCCTGAGGAGACGCTGAAAGTAAAGTGCAAATACCAGCACAGGCTTGCACAGTGTTTGCTCAGGTGACCACCTTGGATGGATCCAGAAGGAAACCACTCTTAAATGATGAGTCCTGGCAGGGACACATGCCACAAAAAAAGATTTTTGTATATTCAATTGTCACTAGACAGATATTGATGGGACAGAGGAAAAAAAAAAAAAGGAAAAGAAATTGCTTTATCACTCCACATGCCAAGGATGGATTGTACAAACCATGGTTATGGGGAGAGCTGGGGCAGCTCTGGGCACTGCTGGGGCAGCTGGACATGTCGGTGCTGCTTCTTCCCTTCCCCAGCACATCACTGCAGCCTCATCCCCGGCCTCTCCGCTCTCCTCATTTCCCCAGGGCCAGCTCAGCACTGCTGTAATTTCAGCTCCGGGCTCCCCAGGGCTCCCATTGCCAGGGAGACCTGATGCAGATCACTCTTTCAGGGCCAGCATTAATTACTGCACTGCCAAGCATGGGAGGCAACAGGGAACGCACCAGCTCATTCAGTGAAGCCATGGGAGCTCCATGGCCAAATCCCACGTGGACAAAAACCTTCCCTGTCTCAGTCCTGATGAGTAAGGAACCCCCTGTCCCAGCCCCCAGGTAAGGAATGGTCCTGACAGCAAGGGATGAAGGCTCTGGCTCACCACAGGGTGAGCTGCACAAGCATCCCAAAACAGCTCCATGGTGATGCACAGCTGCTGGGCTTGACCCTGTGGTCCACAAATCTTTGGGAGGCTGAAAAAGGAGACTCAGAGAATGAAACCTTTCTGCAAACAAACTGAACTCAGGGGGTTGGGGTCTGTATGGCTCCTAGGAGGCTTTGAGGGATCTACAGAACCCTTGTGGATAGAGGAGTGGAAGAAGCAAGCTAAGAACTGTGTCTGTGTTGGAGACTGTGTGTATCCTCTGAGCTCCCACAGAGTGAGGGCAGTGGGGAACAGGAAGCTGGACTCTGCTTTAATTCCACCTAATCTAACCAGACAGATCAGGAAAGGGCTTCAGATAATTATGGATAGCTAAGGAAAGGGAAACAAGCCAATAAATAGTGTAGATACTGGGATGAATCTAATTTTTAAAGCTACATATCTAATGAAAGCAAATTATGTCTGCAGCCTGACTCTGGGAAATGTTAATGTGTAATAAGGAACATTAATTAGGTCCCACCTAATGATTTTTACATTAAAGATGCCAATTCTCCTTAGAGCTTTGGAGAAGACAATATCCTCCTCCTGAGCAGACAGGAGCTGGGTCCTACATGATGCATGGCTGGAGTCAGCACCAGGCTCTCCCAGATCCCAGACAGGATGCAAACGGCAGCTGGCAGTTTGGGAGTAATGTCTCCTCTGCAGAGTGATGGCAAGGAGAAAGCTGTCTCCAGCCTCCTGGAGAAGGACACCTCATGTCACTGCATCTTCTCTACCCACCATCCATTCCTACAGGCATCCAGTACCACTTTCTGTTCTGACATGCCCCACACCTGTTGCTGAGACCTTTAAGCTCAGCCAAGACTCAGCTGTGCAAATCTGACTGCTGCTAATACCAATAAATCCAAAGACCTGCAAAGTCTGACTTTACATCCAAAGGTTATGTTGATTTAAAACACCCGTGCAAGCTTCTTATTACAGTTTATAAATCCCAGCACAAAATCTGCATATCCGTGTTTCATATCCACTCTGCTTCAGGTTAGCAACAGAAAAAGGAATGACTGAACTCCCTCTTGGAAAAAGAATACTTAAAATGGCATGAAACAGGAAAGATTGTCCTTCTCTCTTTTTTTCCTCAGTGAAAGCACATGATGGAATCATCATAAAGCTTCTCAGGTTAATCATCTAATTTGCCTTCCAAAAGAAACCCCCTTGGAATCTACACACCCATTTACATAAGAATTTAAAAAGACCTCTGAATTTATTCCTGAAATACTCATATTCAAATAACATTCTCTGACATGCAGAAACGTTGGGGTTCCTCTGGTGGAGCACCACTAATTAGCAACCAGATTCTTGGATGTGATGGAGATGGATACAACACAAGGAGGTGACAAAACTTGTAACTTTTTAACTGTTGCCCACTTTGCTGGCCTTCCCTGGAACTGGGACGTTCATTATTTGTTAAATTAGATGGAGCAAAGCTGGAAAGAGCAGTTTACTACAGGCATTCAGGAGATGCACAATGAATATTACTCTGGGTATATAAAAAAAAGACATTGATGATTGTGCTAAAAGAAAACCAACATCCTTACGGGCAATCCATCTGCAATCCCAGCAATCCATTTGCTGCGGTCTCTGTAAAATGCTGCAGTTCAAGTACCTAAAACTTCAATGAAAATCAAAGGCCAGGAAAATGCAGCAATGACAATGAGTGAAGGTGAAAGAACATCTGTATCAAAGAGAAACAGAGACTGGTAAATGCCTTTTAGTGCTCAGAGAGCCTCACAATTGGAATGGGAGTATTTACAGCTCAGTTTAAACCTCCACTGAATCAAAAGCAGAACTGTGAGAAAGCCATGGCTTTTCCAGGGATAAAAACTGTCATATGGCACCTACTCTTAGCCAGGAGCATCTATCATCTTTATTCATGTAAGCAATCCTGCAGTGACTTACAACCTGGCTGTTCATTTACAAGGCTAAACACAAGCCTAAATGCCTCACTCCGGGTTTCCACATCCCTCAGGTTTCCACATCCCTCGGTCTGAGCCAAAATCATCTCCCAAGGCAAATTCTGTCACTACAAGAGCTGAAAATAGAAATGGGGAGTCCTGCCTTTTGGTCCTGTGCCTTAATAAATGGTGTCCTGTCCAAAAATTC